TCTAGGAACAGCATCCCCCCGGAATACCTTCACTTCCCCTAAGGAATACCAGCTCCTGGCACAGCTCTGCACAGAGGAAGTCCCTAAGGAAGGGGCCTTTCAGTGCTGGAGACTTTTCCCTATCCAGATGTAAAACCCTCTTTGTTTCCAGACCAACCACTTCAGCCTTTTCCACTCCCTTTTAAGGAGGGGATGGCATGTCTCAGAGCCCAAGTGTGCCTCCATCCCACACAGCAGCAGTGTTCTCATTTCCAATAGTGTCATCTATTTACACCAGAAATGCTTGGTGAGGAAATTGAGGTTATGGAGAGAAAGAATAAGTGTCTCACCTGCACCAGGAATCCCTGTGGGATGTGTTGCCTGTTCCAGACCTTGCCCCACATTTGAAGTAGGGCAGACTGCAGTCAAACCCCCCAGCAAACACAAAGTGCCATTGACCCCTCAGTGCCAGCCTGAGGTGGGAAGTGGCCGTGCTGGGATATTAAGTAGTTTACTCAAAGTCACTCTGAAGCTAATGGCTGAGCAAGGAGCTGTGCTGCATGTCTGAGGTCTTCCTCTCTGAACTATCCTCACTCCACCTCCGAGCTGGTGCTGGTGGTGTCAAAGGGAGACCTGGCACCACCATTAACACGTCTGTGAGCACAGAGTCATAGAATGGTTTGTGTTGGAAGGGACCTTAAAGCTGATCCAGTTCCAACCCCTGCCCCGGGCAGGGACACCTTCCACTAGAGCAGGTTGCTCCAAGCCCCTGTGTCCAACCTGGCCTTGAACACTGCCAGGGATGGGGCAGCCACAGCTTCTCTGGGCACCCTGTGCCAGCGCCTCAGCACCCTCACAGGGAAGAGCTTCTGCCTTATCTCCAACCTGAACTTCCCCTGTTTCAGTTTGAACCCATCACCCCTTGTCCTGTCACTCCAGTCCCTGATGAAGGTCCCTCTCCAGCATCCTTGTAGCCCCCTTCAGACACTGGAGCTGCTCTGAGGTCTCCACGCATGTCCCTCAATGAATCATTTCTCCTCACCAGCAGCAGCCACTTCAGGGCTGCCAGGATCAGCAGAGGCAGAGCACACACGGTGTTCTCAGTCACAGGGATACAGGGTGCAAAGCACTTGGGTGCCAAGCTGATGGCACAGCCCAGGCTTAAAGATGTTAGACAAGTGTTAAACAGCTTTAAAGTCAGCTTGAAACCAGCTTCTCTCAACCCTTGCCAAGCTCGAATGAATGAAAGCATGTTGGCTGTCTCTAGGCTATCTTTGTATGTTTAGTGTGCTCCTGTGGCCATAGAGGGGTTTGGTACCAGCGCTCAGCCCTGTGCCTTTGGAGAAGCACCAAGAGGAGCTTAAATTAAAAGCTCTTCTCTGCTGGCCAAGGGGAATGGTGCAAACCCCAAGCTAAATCCCATGGAAAGCTTGTTCTGGAGAGACACCTGCTGGCCATGTCCATAGGGCAGGGCTGGACCACACTCATCCTGCTTCCCTGGAAGCCAAGAAGGACTAAGAGCATGACAGATGTAAAGAGAATCCAGAGGGAAAGGTTCATGCTACCAAGGTGGAACCCAAAGGAAAAGCAGGCTGCAAACCTGCACGGGTCCCAAGCCCCAGTCCCAACTCCAGCAGTGCTTTGCAGCCCCACACCAGGGCAGGTCACAGGAACAAGAGCACTCAGAAGACAGCAAGAAAACCCTGAGAAAGACCCACAGTCTAATGTACCTGAGAGGTCTGAGCTTGTTCAGCCATAACCAGTCTCTAACCACCCTCCCCACCTGCCTCTGCTTCTGGGACAGCCAAAGAACCCCCAAATCCCCATGAGGTTTGAGCTTAAAGTGAAACAGGAGCAATCCCAGGGCTGTATGGGCTGGATGGAAACCCTATCCCGTTCCAGGCAGGAGAAATCAGGGCATGAAGCTGCATGTTCCAGGCAGGAGCACACACATGTGAGGAAGGAGTTTGCAGGAATCCTGGCAATCGGTGCCAAGGAGGCACGTGTCTGTAGGAGGTTTTAACTCTCTGGGAAAGCAGCAGATCCAAACCAGCTTCTCCTTCCTTTGCCCAGGATCTGCTGGCAGGAGGTTTAATTAAGAGCTATTCAGGTGAGAAGTGACTACAAGAACATCCTCAGGACTAAGCTAAACCTCCAGACTGGTGCTTTGGGGGTTGTTTTCTGCTCTTGTCACAGCAGGATGCTCTTTGCTGCATTTCCTCCTTGCTAGCACTCTGCTGCTTGCAAGGCTTACAGGAGAACACACATCAGAGGGGGCAGACTACACCACAGCCAACATTCAGGCTTCTCCATCGCTATGACCAGCTTCAGGAGCTGCCGTCCTTCCTGAGCCTGGCCCTCTTTCTGTCCTATTGCTCATTCCACCAACCCCTTCACTGAGCTAAGGGGAAGGGATGGGCAGGAGGCACGGTCTGAACTGGTGCTGGAGCAGCTCCTGGAGGAGGTGTCTGTTTGCAGGAGTCTTGGAAATTCCTGGTAGCTTTGGAGGTGTAAAGGACAGGTTTAGTAGATGTTGCAGAAAACAACTCCATGGTTTGGGAGCAGCCAGGGACTGCGCTGACTTGCGGTGAAGTGGTCAGAAACCGTTTTTGTTGGGATATAGCCAGAAGAGAAGGAAGAGGCTGTCAGAGCAGCACCGCTGCATTGAATCGTAGAATCAAACAGGTTGGAAAAGCTCTTGAAGCTCATCAAGTCCAACTGTTGCCCAGCACTGCCAAGGCCACCACTAACCCATGGCACTGAGGGCCTTGTAGACAGGTTTGGGAACACTTCCAGGGACGGTGACTCCAGCCCTGCCCTGGAAGTCCAGTCACTACCTGTGTTGCCCATGAAGCTTTCCCTTCTGTGGGTGCCCTCTTCCCACTTGCTGGGCCTCTCCCCATGCAGAACCCACGGCAGGCGGGGGCACCACTCACCCTTCCCTCTCCCTGAACACATTCCAGCTGCTCTCCCTGACCTGGGAGTGCCTCCCCCCCGACCCTCCCACAACAGCCACGATAAGATACACTTGTAAAGAGCCTGAGATCAGACGTGCAAGCAGCAAAAAAGCAGAGCAGGGCCCTGTTCCCCTCCACTCTGCCTTTGTCCCTGCTCCTATCACCCACTCTCGACACTCTTCCTTCTTTGAGGCAATGCCTGTCAGGCAGGAGCCTGCTGCTGGCCCTGCTGAAGTGACCAGTGTGCAGGAGGACCTGCTGGCTCCTGAGGGTGCCCACATTGCTCACTCCTTGGGGCTGGGTGGCTTCTCTGTCTGAAAAGCAACTTGTGCCTCATCACAGCCAGGAGTGAAGGCAGCGCTGAGGGAGTCTGCGTCTGGCCATAGCGGGCACTGAGAAGCCACTTCATGGCAGGGGAACAAATGGTGTAGTAGCTTCAGTAGTACAATAGGAGCAGCAGCAGATAGGAAAGAGTCACTTCTACTTTACACAAGGGACAGAGAGGGGGAAAAGCAAGACACCAGCAGTGGTAAAGCCAGAACTACCACTCGAGCTCCTTCATCCCTTCCCCAGAAGGGAAAGGATTTGCAGAGACAGAATTCCATGCAGAGGCAGGGATTTGTCCTGCTGGACAGACATGCAACACACCTGCAGTTGCAGAGGGCAGCAGAAGTCAAACAACCCCTGGTGGCCCCAGGGAGAAGCTGCGTCACCAGCACCTTCATTAGGCTGATGTCCTCACCCGAGGGGTGACCAGAGCCCTGGTTACCTGTGGCCTGTCCAGTGGTCACTGCTCCAGCAAACCCTTCTCCTTCCCAAAGCTCCTTCCCACCTCCAGCCTCTTCCAGTGCTCTGCTCGATCATCACTTCATTGCACTGTCTGCACTTCAGAGTAGACTTATCTCACCTGGGTCTTGTGGGTCCTGCACCACTTCACCAAAAGATCCTTTTCTTAATAAATTTGGAAAGAAACCAAATGAATTCATACAGGATATTCATTTTCTGGGTGCCAGACAGAAGCCACCACCCCCCAGAAGGCATTAAAGAGCTTTGAAGTAAACCACAACTAAACTAAGATTAGTATATACTGCTCTAAACCACATGTGCTGTGTTGTGAAGCCCCCTCGGTTGTGACTGTAGCAACAGAGGACAGGATGGTGTTAACTCAGGCTTTAAGAGGGGTGAAAATGTATGGAACTAACATTGCATTTCCTAAGCAGAGCAGGGATCAGGGGTGGTGAGGAAGATGTTTGAGATCACGCTGGGCTGGGATAGTTACTCCTCTGCTATTCCAGCCAAGTATTTAGAAGGAATTTCTGGCCAAGCACCAGTGAAAGAGGTGGCAGAGGAAATTACAGGATTCTCTTCAACAACCTCACAAAATTCCAAGGAATTTCCTCCCAGTTGCTCGTTACTGCCACCTTCCAGTAAGAAATGCAGGAAGTTAGGAACATTTGTTGCCTCATACAAACATTGCACAAGGAACTCAGGCTCTGAGTGGCAGCCCTTCCTATCTCTAACTACAGCCCTACACTGTGGTTTGCCAGGAAACACCAGAGAGCAAACTAAAATGTCACAGCAATGCAGAAGGTTCCTGCTGGAGGATGATTCACAGGGCTGTTATAGAATGATAGAATCATAGGATGGTTTGGGTTAGAAGGGAGCTCAAAGCTCCTCCAGCTCCAACCCCTGCCCCGGGCAGGGACACCTTCCACTAGAGCAGGTTGCTCCAAGCCCCTGTGTCCAGCCTGGCCTTGCACACTGCCAGGGATGGGGCAGCCACAGCTTCTCTGGGCACCCTGTGCCAGCGCCTCAGCACCCTCACAGGGAAGAACTTCTCCCTTATATCTAACTTAAGTCTCCCCTGTGATGATCTCCAGAGGTCCCTTCTAACCCTAATGATGCTGTGATTCTATGTACCCTACTTGCCAATCCCTCTTGCAAAAGTTAATATCATTAATGTGTCTTACTATTCCCAATACTCCAACTGAAGCTGGAAGCTCAGAGATGATGGGAATAACTGTAGCACCCCACTGAAGCCTTATTTTCTTCTTTTTCTTGCAGAACAAAGGAAAAAATACTCCAACTCCAACATCATCATGCACGAGACATCACAGTACCACGTGCAGGTGAGTATAAATGAAACCCTACAGGGAGCAAGGCCAATGCCGGAGATGGATGTTGGTAACACAAAGTGTTTCATTGGTCCTACACCTTCATTATGCCAAAGAGGAGGTGGGAACCTTAGAATAAGCAAGAATAATTCTTTAAGGTCCCTTCCAACCTAAACCATTTGTGATTCACACCCTAAGAGGCAAACAGCAAAGCTGCTTGAAACTTCATGTTCCTGGCTCCCTGCTGCCGGTAGGAATGCTTGTCTCCCAAGTGTCCCCAGCCAGGCTGGGTTCATACTCTATTTCCAGCCCCTGGACTGTAGGACATACCTTCAGACTTGCCCATCTGCTGTAGTTTCCCTCCTTGAGGGAATTACCACCATAGTCCTGCCAGCCTGGACTGGGCTGAGGCCACACAAGTCCTCTCAATCACATAATACTGAAGCTTGGATCATCCAGGCTTCTTGTATGATTTCTTTGAGCCCCAAAGGGTAGGAAAGTAAAGAGCGCACAGAGGTGGAGCACAGGGATTTCTGACCACAGACACTTTGTGAGGAGACAGTTCCTCTCCCAAGACTGACCCCACTCCTTCCCATGAATGAGAGGTTTCAGCTGGACTGGATCCTCTCCATTCTCTCCTCTCACATAATGCCTGCTCTAAAATCCATACCAGCTCTTCTGCGACCTCTTATGTCCCTGCTGCTCTCCAGAGTTCATTATGGATGGCATTATTTGAAAGTCCAAGCAAAGAGTCTCTGGTACAGCTCAGATCCTCCCAAGGCTACAAACAGCCACGGCACAGCTCTGAACCCCCCCGAAAACCCTGTAACAAAGCTGGGTACAGCCTTTGGTGGCTTCTCCCATGACACAGGTCACCCCTGGCCATTGAGCTGCCCCTGCCTGGGATCCCACATGTTTCTTTGAGCTGAAGAGTGGGAGACACCCACATCAGACACTCTGTTCTGGGGATGGGGAGAGAAACAGACCACTCACTGCTGCTGCATGTCCAGTGTGTGACTTGTGCCAGAGGCTCACAACTTACTGGTTTGACCCCTTTCCCTTGCTGGGCTCCATCTAGAAGCAGAGTCTGGGGACACTGAGGTCAGCAGCTCTGTCCTCTTGCTGTAAGGTGTGACATGAGCATGGGAGGTCACTGCCTGAAGGACCTGCTGTAGAGCTCAGTCATTCAGCCAGACACTGTCATTGCAGCCTGCAGATGGGGAACCACTGGTGAAAAGGGAGGACAAGAATGATCAGTAGAGCCTGTGAAGTTGGGTTCATTACACATGCACCTCTTTTCTACTGTAAATTTAAATTGAAAATGATCAATGAAACTAATTATCAAAAATTTACTTCCTTTCTGCATAATCAAGACTCAGCAAATGAAAGTGTTTAGTAACTGGGGGGATAATGGGAGAAAAAGATGTTAAAAAGACAAGGGAATTCTATACAAGGAAACAGGAAATGGAGCTGCTGTTGTCCTCCCTTCCCCCTCTTCATTTGAAGAGCAGTGGGAGCTGCCATCCTTCATCACCCTGTCCTTCAAACCCCCCTTGATCAGCACAGACAGGTTAAACACAGGGCTCCCTCATCTACCCATACAACAGAGCCCACATGGACTATCACCTTTCAGCCCCCCCCAGCTACTGTGTCCTCTCAAGTAACCCAAAACCCTTCAACCACAATGGGAACTCAGCCAAATGCAGCTCCCAGTGTCACAGATATCCACTCAGAGAAGAGGAGGCAGCCTGGATGTCCCAGGCCTGGCAGCCCCTCTAATGGAATACACTAGCACTGACCACTGCAGGATGGAGGTGCCCATCTGAGGCCAGCTGGACCATTCCCACTGCAAACTGGGCAAGGAGAGAAAGGAAAACATTTTAAGAGGTTCATATAGGAGCATGAGCAGCAGGTCAAAGGAGTGACCCTGCCCCTCTATTCTGCTCTTGTGAAACCCCACATGGAGCATCATGTACAGTTCTGGTGACCCCAACATAAGGACATGGAGCTGTTGGAGCAAGTGCAGAGGAGGCCATGAGGACGCTCAGGGCCTGGAGCAGCTCCTGTATGGAGACAGGCTGAGAACATTGGGGCTGTTCAGCCTGGAAAAGAGAAGCTGCTGGAGACCTCAGAGCAGCTTCCAGTGGCTGAAGGGGGCTACAAAGATGCTGGAGAGGGACTCTTCATCAGGGACTGTAGGGACAGAACAAGGGCTTTAACCTGCCAGGAGGGAGACTGAGATGAGCTCTGAGGCAGAAGCTCTTCCCTGGGAGGGTGCTGAGGCGCTGGCACAGGGTGCCCAGAGAAGCTGTGGCTGCCCCATCCCTGGCAGTGTTCAAGGCCAGGTTGGACACAGGGGCTTGGAGCAACCTGCTCTAGTGGGAGGTGTCCCTGCCCGGGGCAGGGGTTGGAGCTGGAGGAGCTTTAAGCTCCCTTCCAACCCAAACCATTCCATGATTCTGTATTTAGTAGGTAAGGCCCTCTCTTCTCTGGTTTGAAGTCCCCAGTCCAGCAGAGAGCTGAAGTCCATGGTTATGGATGAAAAAGCCTGTTCAGTTGCTTACAATGAAACTTAGACATTAAGAAACACTCGCTTGGAGAGAGGCCCTGGCCCTGCCACCAGCCCCACAGGCACTCGTGGAAGCAGAGAAGGCACTTTAAACACTGACACGTTCATGAATTCCTCATGAATCATGCCATATGCCTCCCCTTTGTGAGTCCTCACCCTGAACTTTGACCAAGGAAAACAGGATTTCAGCAGCAGCAGCGAGATAGGAAGAAAAGTTTCCTCACATGAAGCATTTTGCACCCTTTAAAGTAATCTACAAGCTGATCAAAGTTTAATAGTGGATGGAATCACTGCCCATTCTGACAAAAGGCACTATATTTGATGATCCATGTGGATGAAAAGGGGGTTAATGGGATAAGTCAAAGACTCTCCCTCTCATTCCACCCATATCTAAAGGAAATGGAAAAGAGGAAATACTCAGAGTTAGACACGTAGCTTTCCCCTCCATGAAAACGAACCTAACAGTAAACCCCAAAGGAATTTATGAAGCCTATAAACCTGCCTTTAAGATAATAGAAGAGATAAGAATGGCTCTCACCAGGTATAAACCAATTCCCTGCACTGCTCGGAAAGCAGAGGGTTTGTCACCTCTGCACAGATAGTGTTGACTTTGTGAATACCTTTCCATGCACTGTTTTACCATCACACACACACCTGAGCATGTTTCTCAAGCCTGATTGCATGGCTAATCTCAGCCTTCAGCTCAAATACCTGCCAGGAGTGTTATTTGGCCACTGCCTCACCCAGTACTTTGCTTAATGAACACAGGATTGGGTCTGACACTCTGCAGTGTTTATCCTCTTCTCTGCTCTTTCCAGTCCTTTGAATTGGTCACCACAATTCCCATCCACCCAATTCCCACCATCACATCAACCATCATGTTTAAATACTCGGCCATTTCTGCCTGTCAGGGCTACCAGGGCTTTAAATCTGAGCCTTTCCCCCTGCATCCACCTTGCCTGGAGCTGACTGCAACTGTGGTTCTTGCTCATACTTCAACGTGACTGTCCAAGGCCCTGTGTACCCCCAGGTCCATCTGCTCTGTATCAGACCCCAACATTCTCAGCCTCTCCAAGGTCCCTTTGTAACCTGTTCTTGCTGCAGGATGGTGCTGGTTCCCTCCTTGGTGCTGGAGCAGGGTCAGCTTTTGCTGCCTCTTAGTCTGCTTCCTGCTTTGTATTCCCTGGGCTTTTGCAGGTAGAAGGATCTTCCTTCCCAAGCAACACTCTCACCCTCCTCCATTGCCCACTGAGGCACATGCTGATGGTGGACACAATCCTGTGGTGTGTTCCATCAGCTCAGGAGCTGAGGCTGCTTCTGGGAACAGAGAGGTTTGCCCTCAGTCCCTTCTCCTTCTCCTCATGCTTTGTAGCTCTTGCTTGGTTGTCTTCTGGCACAGAGACTGCCCTTGTGCCATGGCTGGACCCTGACTCCTGATACAGCACCAGAAAGAAACTGCCTGAAGCCTAAAAAGGTTATGTCTGATCACTGGGAGAAGGCATGAGGACAAGGGATCAGAGGGAGAACATCCACAGTACCAGAGACTCCAAAGAGCCTCTCCACATTTCACGTCCATCTGTGGCTCGCTTTAAAACACACCCCATTTTTCCAGCTCCTGCTTTGGAACCAGGCTGCAGGATTTGTGCCTCAGACAAGCAGGGGTTTCCACTGCCACCAGCCGCAGGAGCACCACGGGCCAGCAGGGCCGTTCTGGGGTTGAGGCACTGTTGTCCCCAGCCCCATGGCAAATATCTGCTCTACTGGCAGTACCAGAGGGCTAATGCACTCCACAGACTGACTCAGCAGCAATGTGTTACCCTGATGCTATTGAGTAGGGGAGGTGGGATGAGGGGGTCATGCTGGTGGATGGGCCACTGATATTCCAGGGAAGAGGAAGAGCTGGACCTGGCCTGATAAACCTCCCAGCAGCAGGCCCTTGGATCAGGCCTATGACTTGTCCATCCAAAGCCTCCCACCTTTCTCTCCTGGAGAAAGCTGGTTACAACAGGGAAAAGCTTCAGCTGCTTTCCCTGTTGGGCATGTTCCTCCCTTCTCCTCACCAGGAACACAGCAGGGCAGCACAGGGAACAAGGTGAAACAGGACCATTTCCTCTTCCTTCCTTTCCCTTGTTATCACTGTGGCCTGGCTGTGCTGTCACTCACACAGGGACAACTGCAGAGGGTTCCCAGCTTCTCCTGCCTCACGGACCGTCTCCCCGTGCACAGAGAGCAGCATTCCCTGCACTGGCTGCTCATCAGAGTGGAGGGAAATAAGTTCCCTGGATTTCTGGGGTAGCCTTCACCCACTGCTGGGGCACACACACCACTGGGATGTGACACACTTCCTTCTGCAGCTGCCTCCCTGCTCAGCATTCCCCTCACATGGAATTCAACTGCTTTCAGTTTGGCAAGTGAAGCTTAACTCCCATACTGAAGCTTCCAAGCCGGTGTCAGACAAGGACTAATTCCTGCATACAAAGCACCTGCGCGGCTGGATGGGGGCCAGAGCTGCTGAAGTGACATACAGGGAGATAAATATGGGTGGTGAAACTCATCATGCTGCATCACAACACCCAGCTCTTTTACCACCGTGGCCAGGCTGGTGCTAACCACCAGAACATACACCTTCTACAGCAACTCTCTCCTGCCTGTGCTCTAGGGAGCAGACAAAGAGGAGCAGAAGCCTTTAGAGATGGTCTCACACTAACTCACACCAGCAAGTCTTTTTCACCTGTTTTTTCCTCCTTGCCTCCCCCACCCCACCCCCCCCCAACTCCAGCACTTGGCCACCTTCATCATGGACAAGAGCGAGTCCATCGTGACAGTGGATGATGCCATCCGGAAACTCATCCTGCTCAACTCCAAAGAGAAGATCTGGACACAGGAGATGCTGCTGCAAGTGAATGACAAGTCCATCCGCCTCCTGGACTGCGAGTCTCAGGTACCAGAGCTCCCCAAAGAGCGAGATGTGGGGTGTAGCCTGAGCCCTTCCCATCCTGCCTGGGAGGGATGTTTGTAAGGAACCCAAATGAGGGTGAATCTCTACTAGAAGCCACTCCTGGGCGAGCAGGACTAATTCAAAGGGCAGGTAGGTGTGAGGTGATTTACTCACAGCTCCACAGTGCAGATACTCCAGGTGAAAGATACCTTCAGGCTTTCTGTGGGAGTGGTGCAGACTTACAGGTCCACAGAGATACTCGGAAGGCATAAACAGAGAGGGAAGGACATACAACTTGTATTAAAACCACACACATGATCACCTGCCCAAGAGCAGTGCCCTGTTTTGACAGGCAATACACATACACTTGCATAGGGCACCTAATCCAAATGGAAAGAGCAGGCAGGTGGTGGGAGAGCTTGCTCTGATTTGAGCAATGAGAAACAAAAGCCTATTAGCCCAAGGTCATCCAAGGACACAGTGGGAGGGTGCAGCCCTCACAGAAAGCATCTCTCCTCCCAGTGCTCTGCTGGGACACAAGAGTATTGCTGCAGGCAGAGCACAGCAGTAAGGTGGTGGTGAGCAGCAAAACTTGCGCAGCAAAAGTTCCTGTGAAGTCTCAGACTGGGCCCCATATTAGGACCCACAGGAGAACAAGAGCTCACCTCTGCCATCCACCTCTCTCCTGTTCCACAGTCCCACGCCACCTTTACATGTATCTTTGAAGAGCCCAGCAAACCACTGTGGAGAAGCACAAGCTCTGCCAAGTCTCCCTCCTCAAGCAGGGATCCCAGGAGCTCACACAGGGGACCATTCTCCATCAGTTCAGTAGTTCCCCATTGCCTGACCCCTTCCTCTTCCTTTTGCAGGAGGAGCTGGAGGACTTCCCCCTGCCCACAGTCCAGCACTGCCAGACGGTGCTGAACCAGATGCGCTATTCCTCCATCCTCCTCCTGGTGTGCCAGGATTCAGAGCAGCACAAACCTGACATCCACTTCTTCAACTGCGACGAGGTGGAGGTGAGCAGAGCCCCCCTTGCTGGTGTGGAATGGAGAACAAACTGTGCTCCAGCTCCTTCCTCCTTCACCTGCTTACAGCCCTCAAATCCTTCCAAAGCAAAGCCCCTAAAACATCCCTGTTTTGTCTTTGAGGCGGAGATGGTCCATGAGGACATTGAAAGTGCCCTGGCAGACCACAAGCATGGGAAGAAGATACGGCCACAGACACTCAAGTGAGTACTGTGGGTACTTGAGACCTGGCAGATCGAGCAGTTTCCAAGTTTTCCTGACTTTAATAAGAACCCAAGGAAGTTTCTTCCTATTCTTCTTAGGCAGAAGCTCTTCCTTGTGAGGGTGCTGAGGTGCTGGCACAGGGTGCCCAGAGGAGCTGTGGCTGCCCCATCCCTGGCAGTGTTCAAGGCCAGGTTGGACACAGGGGCTTGGAGCAACCTGCTCTAGTGGAAGGTGTCCCTGCCCGGGGCAGGGGTTGGGACTGGATGAGCTTTAAGGTTCCTTCCAACCCAAACCAGTCTGGGATTCTATGATACAACTGGGAGTAAAGAAACCCATTTACAGAAGCCTCTGAGACAGGATGAGCACTGACAGGGTGGTTCTGTGTCATTTTCCTTGCAGAGCAAACCAGGAAAAGATCAGGCAGAGACAATCCATCCTCCCGCCACCACAAGGGCCGGCTCCTATCCCGATCCAGCACGATGTGCGAGGCTCAGCGATGAACAGGAACCGGGTGGCACCCCCTTCCCAGCACGATCCAGGTACTGGGAGCACTCAGCAGGTCTGTCCTGGGTACAGGGGACTCCCAACCCTCCTGTAGTGGCCTGCAGTCACCTCAGGCCCTGTCCTGCCAGAGCACAGGGAAGCCCAGTGGGGTTTCACTGGGTTGTAACAGACACATACCTGAGGCACAACATTTTGTTGCCTCTCTGCTGTGCTTTATGATGCTAAAGATCAGCCACAGCAAATACTTGTACTCACTGGGCTCACAGGAGGCATCTTCTGCTCAACCACAGCTCAACAAACCAAAGCTCCTTTAAACTCCTGGAATCTGGAATACTGAAATTCCCAAAATAGCTGAAAGCCCCTCAGAAAACTGAGCCATCACACGAAGTTTGGACCAGGCACCAGTGATCATAAAAAGACAAGACAGACCTGGTCAGAAAGGCAAATTCCTGCCTCTGCTCACTTGGCAGGAGCCAAGATTCACCCTCAAATCAAGCAGTTGGCATGAATTCCTCTGGAGTTGAGTGTGGAATCGCAGATGTGGACTCACCTGCATCATGTGCTGATCTAAAGTCCTATTCCAAAACCATCCTGACTTCAGCCTCTTGGAGCTGGCTTGAGAAACCTTCTATTTCTCTTTCAAGAAAGAATTAACAGAAATAAGCTGCTGGTAACAGGAGTAAGCTCTGAAAAAGGCTGAAATTGACTACAGTGATGAGCAAACTGTAACCTCTCATCATTGCCCATTGCACCACCTACTCTTAGGATCAGTTTCCAGGTTCATGGAAAACATGCCAGGAGGATACTGTGAGAAACTCCAAACACCAGCTGAGGAGAGAAAACACACACTTCCCAGGGATGGGATCTGAAGCAGGGCAGATGCTCAGGCCTCCCACACTGAGCCTATTGCAGGGCCAGTTTTGGTTAATGAACATAAGCTCTGTGCTTCAGAGCTGCCCCATCCCTGGCAGTGTTCAAGGCCAGGTTGGACACAGGGGCTTGGAGCAACCTGCTCTAGTGGAAGGTGTCCCTGCCCGGGGCAGGGGTTTGGGACTCTATGGTCCCTTCCAACACAAACCATTCCATGATCCTATGATCACTTCTTCTTTGGAACACACCTTATGGCTGCTTCTACACAACCTGTCAAAGCTATTCACCTCATCGTAACGCTTACAGATGACATAGATTGTTCAGTGGTCCTTTGCCAAAACTGCCTCCCCGGGTCTCCCACTTGATACCCCACTGTCCCAACACCTCCTGTCCCAGCCCTTTCAAACCCCATTTCTCTGAGCTGACACATTCTTTTCACAAGAGGCAATCCCTGAATTGAATGGAGCCTATTTTCAACTTCAGAGTAAATACATTTTCTCTCTCTCCCTTCTCTGCAGACTATGAGCGACGAGGCTCCGGCTCCCACGACCACGAGGAGTCCCGAGCCATCCTAGCACAGAAGATTGAGAAGGAAACGGTGGGTAACAAGCACAGTGCATGGTCAGTAGGCAGGAGGAGGGAGAAGAGAGGAGGGAAGCAAAGGGCTCTTCCACTAATAGATACTTAATGCACAGTCATTGCTAAACTGCTATCTCCTGTGCATGAAGATAAGGTGACCAAAAGCGAAGCTCCATCACTGGGTTGGGTTACAATCCCCTTTGCTGATTTCAGCTCTGCTCCTCCCCAGCCCACAGTCTGGTCTTGGGGTTGTTTTCCAGCCATCCATTAGCAGGGGTCACTTGTCACATTGATAAGTACAGCCTGAGGCACAGCTTTGTGTTTGGGAAGTGATGAATTCAGCTTAATTCCATGCCTGGATTCCCTATTCCTGCGCAGAAGTGAGGCAGGAGCAGAGCAGCACACTCAGGGATTCGGGCTCCCTTTCATTTTGCTTTGTTGCATTTGTGTCCTCACAGCAAATCCTGAACTGCACTCTGGATGACATTGAAGTGTTTGTCGCCAGGCTTCAGAAGGCTGCAGAGGCGTTCAGGCAGCTCAACCAGAGGAAGAAAGGGAAGAAGAACAAGAAGAAAGGGCCAGCAGGTACATGCAACAGCTAGGAGAAACAGGGAGCACAGGGGCATGGATGAATGGCCTGGATACCCATCCCTGGCAGTGTTCAAGGCCAGGTTGGACAGAGGGGCTTGGAGCAACCTGCTCTAGTGGAAGGTGTCCCTGCCCGGGGCAGGGGTTGGAGCTGGATGAGCTTTAAGGTCCCTTCCAAACCCAAACCATCCTCTGGTTCTATCAAGGTTGGAAGGAGACCTCATATCAAAGCAGAAGCACAGCTACACCACCTGGAAGGTGCTGGTGGTCTGTGGAGACCTCTCACAGAGAACACAGAGCCTGGGGAAGCTTCCAGCACACAGAAAGACTTTTGGCTCTTCCTGAACCCTTGACTTACAGTAGTTCTAGCCTCAGCACCCACTACTGCCATGTCTTCTGCATGTCAGCAAGATGAATCCTTCCTGAACAGGGATGCTCTAATGACAGTGTCTTTCTCTCCCCCTTCCCATGCAGAGGGTGTGCTGACTCTTCGAGCGAGACCCCCAAGTGAGGCCGAGTTCATTGACTGCTTCCAGAAAACCAAACTGGCTTTTAACCTCTTGGTAAGACACAGAAGGTGTTTTCATCCCATGCAGTGACAGGGCTTTTCCTCACATACAACAACCATTTAAAGTGACAGTTGAACTAAAACCACCATGAAGGGACAAAGGTGTGAATTCTAGACCCTTCAGAATCCAGAACACACCTTGTGCAGGTTTCTGAGGCCAAGTGGGGAACCTGAAACTAGAAATAAGGTCCAGGATGGGACTGAGCAGCCAGGGGCCTGCATTGCCTGGATCCCTTCACAGACACAGCCCTGCCTCAGAGCATTTGTGAAGCTGTGAGTGTTCAAGGCCAGGTTGGACACAGGGGCTTGGAGCAACCTGCTCTAGTGGAAGGTGTCCCTGCCCGGGGCAGGGGTTGGAGCTGGAGGAGCTTTAAGGTCCCTTCCAACACAAACCAGGCTGGGATTCTATAAAACAGCTTCAAAAGGACCAATTCTAACATAGAGTATGTACCTCTAAGCAGCAATCCCTCCCTGTGACAGGAAAGAGAAGGCAAAAGCAGGCTGGGGTTAAACTGGGTTTGCTTTCTCTTTCCAGGCCAAGCTGAGGAAGCACATCCAGAATCCCAGTGCTTCAGAGCTGGTGCACTTCCTATTTGGGCCACTGGAACTGGTAAACCTCATTCACTGGCTTCACTGTGAACTCACTTTGTATTTCTGATGGTGCTTTCACACATACAGGCAGCTAAATTCCATGGAAGAGTTAGGAGACAGCTCACAACTGGCTAAAGGTGTCTCAGAAAAGTCTAGAAGCAACGTCACCAGTGGTTCTGGCCTCTGATCCGATTTCCAGCTTCAAGAAATCCACAAATCCCAGCAAATAGGGATCTTTCCACTCCATTAATAAAGAACAAAAGTGTGAGCCAGCTGTGGTTCCCAATGGGAATCTGCCCAATCTCACCTTCAAGCAAACATGGCTCAATATTTGCACTGAAAATAGGAAGGAAAAATCCCAGCTTGAAAAAGAAGCCAGAGGGACACAGAAATTCCAAGTGATTTTCCATTTCCTTAAATGTCAGCTTCTGCTGTGTCCTGTCTCTAACAGCAGCTGAGATTTAGATCAGGCCCTGCTTTGACTCCAGTAGAAACTCTTGTGTTTCTCTGAAGTGCCCAGTCTTCTTCAGTGATTCCATGATCTAGGTTGGCATTTCCACTAGTAGCCAGCAGGGCCAGGGCAGGGACTGTCCCCCTGTGCTGGGCACTGGTGAGGCTGCACCTCGGATCCTGTGTCAGTTCTGGGCCCTCACTGCAAGAGAGACATTGAGGTGCTGGAGGGGGCCAGAGAAGGGCACCGGAGCTGGAGCAGGGCCTGGAGCACAAGTGTGATGGGGAAGGGCTGAGGGACCTGGGGGGTTTAGTGTGGAGAAGAGGAGGCTCAGGGGGGACCTGATCGCTCTCTGCAACTGCCTGACAGGAGGATGGAGCCAGGAGGGGGCTGGGCTCTGCTCCCCAGGGATGGGCCAAGAGGAACCAGCCTCAAGCTGCCCCAGGGCAGGTTTAGCTGGAGCTGAGGAATAATTCCTTGCCCAGAGGGTGCTCAGGCATTGGAACAGGCTGCCCAGGGCAGGGCTGGAGTCACCGTCTCTGCAAGTGTTCACACACCATGGAGCCGAGGCCTCAGTGCCAGGGATTAGTGGTGGCTTTGGCACTGCTGGGGTGAAGTGTGGACTTGATGAGCTTAAAATGACTTTTCCAGCCTGGCTGATTCTCTGATTCCTGAGACAACTGAGATGATCTAAGGATCAGCTGCTGCCAAGAGGACTTAGGCCACCCCCAACATGAAGCCTTGTCCTCTGGCTTTCATTGTATACCTTGGGGAACGTAGGAACTATCTATTTATTTGCTTTTTCTTAATAAAGTCAAGCATTCCCAGTGCAGTGTTGAGGATAAAAGGGGTGCTGAGGCAATGCAGGGGCCATTTTAGGTGCCAGGAAACCAGGAATTTAGTTGATCTGTGTGGTGAAACCTCCCCCTTACAGATGAAGGCAAAGAGAACTTTGAAAGCATGTCTAACGTGAATCAGCCTGGTCCTTCGGAGTGGGCACACACAGAGACCTCACAGCATCAGAGCCACTAATTCTTGTGTCTTCGATTCATGTTCCTTTGTGTGGACGCTGGGTTGATATCTTGAACATTCCCTAGAAAACCTCTCCTGTTTGTGTGTGTCTGTGTGTGATCCAGATCATCAATAGCTGTGGTGGCCCCGAGCTTGCCAAGTCTGCTGTCAGCCCTCTTCTTTCCAAAGACGCCACAGATTTCCTCCGAGGACACCTCACACCAAAGGAGATAAACCTCTGGGACTCACTGGGAGAGGCATGGACCAGATCCAGGTGAGGACAGAGCTACTGCCACACCAGGGTCCCCAAGAGAAAGGCAGAGGGGCTGCTTGATGTCACAGCCATGGCAAGGGGTCAAGGATGACCCAATGCCGCCGGTGCTCCTCCCTGATGTGCTTTTGGAGACATGATCCTTGTGAATCTCACCACATATTCCCGCTTCATGTCCTAGAGCTGAATGGCCCCGGGAAGCAAATATCCCCACCTACATCCCCAAATTCCGCAATGGCTGGGAGCCACCCGTGGAAATCTTCCGTGGAGCTCCCTGGGAAATAGACATCGGACACTTGCAAGAGGAGGTTGGTCTGTGCCCATGGTTATCTTCTCTTTCCTTCCCTCTGCCTCCCCCTTTTCAGTGTGAGGTGGGCTGTGGAGTTTGTGGTGGGCTGTGACAAGTAGTTGGCTCAAAACTCAGTTGGATCTAATGACTCCAGTTAAATAGGAAAGAAAATAAGGACAACAATGATCAGCTTCAGCTCCTGATCAACAAGAAATAGGATACAACACTATAATATCTTCCAGTACCTAAAGCGGACCTACACTATATCCAGAGAGGGGCTTTGGACAAGGGATGGAGGGACAGGCCAAGGGGAATGGCTTGAACCTGCCAGAGGGGAGACTGAGATGAGCTCTGAGGCAGAAGCTCTTCCCTGGGAGGGTGCTGAGGCGCTGGCACAGGGTGCCCAGAGAAGCTGTGGCTGCCCCATCCCTGGCAGTGTTCAAGGCCAGGTTGGACACAGGGGCTTGGAGCAACCTGCTCTAGTGGAAGGTGTCCCTGGCCGTGGCAGGGGTTGGAGCTGGATGGGATTTAAGGTCCCTTCCAACACAAACCTCTGTTTGAGTCTATGATAACCAAGCCCTATGGATACAGGTTTGCCTGAAGACCATTTCTTTGGTGCTCGCCTCATCATGACCAAAAGCTTCCAGACCTCAATTCATCCATCGCTCTCCTTTTGTCCAGTACAGCTGTGTCCTTTCTGGTAACACTGACTCCACTTTTGCCTTCCCAGCTCTCATCAGCCAATGGATATCCTTACCGGAACTCCTCCCTCAAGCGTGGCCAGAGCCCTGAGCAGACCCAGGCTGTGGATGCCTTCAAGCAGAACGTAACTCAGCATGTAAATAGGTACCGTACCAGCACTCACGTGTAACCTCACAAACACACACCACAATGTATCACCCCACCAGGGTGTTTTGGCATGTGGTAGGTAACACCCTGCCATTATTAATGCAGACTTGATAACCACATCAGGGAACTCAAAGGTTACTTATATCAACAGTCTGCTTTTCAATGAGCAGCAGGTCCACAAGGACATGGGTTACGTGTGATTTCCACCACAGGAGGTAAAAATACTGACTGACTACATTAGTAAATCAGTAGGTCTTGTTTCATAACATCAGCCCACCAAAGTAATGTTAAAGATCACGTGCCAAAGACACTGTGCTTCTGTTCTGCATGTGTTTAAAGGAGTTAGCATCCATCCATCCATCCCAAAGCCACATGGCTTGCACAGAAGGCACCTGCTCATAGTACAGAGGAATGTACTACGGTACATCCAAGCTTTCCAACACTGAAAAGCACAGCCTGACCTGCCTGGAAAACATTTCAACTGAGGAAGCACCAGTTCGGTTCTCTGGAGGCTGCAGCTCCTCCTTTTGCTTTGAGACACAACCAAAGGGAAACACATTCAGTAGAGGCTGAATAAAACAAACGTGCTCCTGGTCTTGCCCACCTCTCCATCAGCAGACTGGCAGGATGCCGATTTCAGACAACTCTTTTTAATGGGATAAATCTAGAAAATGGGGAAAACCCTTTCCCCTTTCTTCAGAAGTCTTGGGAAGTTCAGTTCCCAGCCCAGCACCAACCAGGCCACCCTTTTGCCTCAAGCTTTTTCCCAAGGAAAAGACTGTTTCTTTGTAATTTAAGCAAATTCTCTGCCCTGCTGCCAGTTTTCCATCACCAGTTACTCAGTGGTCTAAAATCTGTATGAAAGTACTTTTGGTTCAAGGCTTTGAGGGTTTCACCTGTTTACATGAACTTACGCCTTGGAGATTTCACAAGATCCAAGTTTCAGGCAGCTCTTCCCAAACTGAAATGAACCCTCTGCCATACTCCACTGCCAGGTCAGACCCAGCAAAGCCCTTAGCCAAGAACTCTTCTGTAGCCAGCTCTGAACTGGGAGAAAGCCTTCAAGCCACACTGGTTTTCATGGGTTTATGTTCTCATCTAAAAGATTTATAAGCTCAACTACTACAAGAAAATTCAAATTTGTAGCAAAATACCTTAAATCCAGTTATATCAGTAAAACAACTTATTCTTCTCATTCACCCATCAAAGGTCCTGGTGGGACCATTAAATACTACAAACACAGTATTGAAAAGGGAAAGAATTATGATAAATTCTCCTCTCTAATTCCATGTTTCTCAGTGAGGTTATGAAAAATTAGGAGAACTCAGTTTACATGAGAACATAACCTGCCAGAGGGGAGACTGAGATGAGCTCTGAAGCAGAAGCTCTTCCCTGGGAGGGTGCTGAGGCGCTGGCACAGGGTGCCCAGAGAGGCTGTGGCTGCCCCATCCCTGGCAGTGTTCAAGGCCAGGTTGGACACAGGGGCTTGGAGCAACCTGCTCTAGTGGAAGGTGTCCCTGCCCATGGCAGGGGTTGGAGCTGGAGGAGCTTTAAGGTCCCTTCAACACAAACCACTCTGGGTTTTTGTGATTCAAGTCTGGTTTTAATAACTGGTAGACAACACACATGAGGAAACATTTTCATCTGTTAGTCTCAGCACAGGCAAACTATAAATAGTAGTTTGAGTCCCAAATACAATCTAGCAGCGTGCCTCTTACCAAGGTGACCATCTCCCTGAGACACCACCCAGTGTAACTACAGTGTGGGCACATGGAGGATTAGATGAGGATCTCTCCTCTCCTGGGTAGGCGTTGCACCTTCTTATCTACCTTTCAGACTGACACACCAAGAGTTCCTTATGGGTAACATTTAAGAAAGAAACTGTCAAAGGCACTGAAATAGATGCTAAAATTAAGAATGTGCTTTGACACCTCCTCAGCCAAGTGTGCCCAGATGTTTGCCACAATGACAGTTGGGACAGACACATCTCCTGCTCTACTCAGGCTTCTTTCAGAGTGCACTGAAGTAGTTTGCCAACCCTGAGTCCCTGTATTAGCAATAATAGCCATGCATCAGTACTTAATGCCTACTTACACCAGGGATTTTAGCTGCAAAGAAGTGTCATGAAAGCCCCAAGCAACATTACAACCATCAGCAAAGGTCACTTGTGTAAAATCCAGGTGCCTGCAAAGTACACAGTAGCCTCAAACTCCTCATAACTCGCCTCTGGCATCCAACAGAAAAAGGAATTCCCATCTCCCCCTCCCCACCTTCAGGGTAAGGCCACCACTCCCATTCCTGACTGATGGATTCAACCTGTCTGAAAGGCTGCTCCTCCACTGCAGACTCACACCTTGTGTATTGCACATGGCTGTAACTAGAGCAAGAGTTGTCCCAAATCAAACTCCATCACAGGCATGATATCAAACCACTGAACCAGTGCTTTCAAACCTTATTCACACCACCAAAAGCCATCTAATGAAGACAGTAAAATGAACTGGAGACAGGATGGGCTGTCTTTTCAAAGCCAGGTTTTACAGGCACCTCAGAAACAGCCCAGAGTTTCCACAGCTCACGGATTTAAAATCACTGACCAAACCCAAGAACTCAGCAATGGAAAACCATCAGGTTAAGCTCCACAGCACTGGCTTCACAACTCAGCACAAACCAGAGGAGAACCTGGCCCCATGCTGCTATGCCCACCTTGAACACAGCACCCAGGGGTCTTCTGCAGCAGGTAGTAGCTGTGCAGGTTGCAAGTCAGAAGCAGAAAGCTCTATAGAAGGTGCATTAAAGTAGTTCCTCCCTGCCCTTACACAAGGCAAGGGAGTTTTTCCACACTGCAAACATTTCTGGGATTATAAAGTAACTTCTTAGTTGGAGAAGGAAAAGGTGAGATCTGCAGAGTTTTCCTAAGCCAAGCAAAAAACATGGGATAAAATAAAGCAGTTGAGTTTGGCTTGAAGGGAACCTTTCATTCCACTTTTCCACCAGCTTTTACAATCTCTCTCCTCATGAAAAGCCAGTTAAACATTGAAAGCCACATATTCCTGTGTCAGGAATTCCCAAGCAACATATTTAAACACATTGCTCTTCCCCCAAATGAATCTTAGAATAGAAACATTTAAACTCACTTTTCCTGAGAAGCTGCAGATTCTGTGTCAGTAGCTCAGCGTTACCTGATGGAAAACCACAGCTTTCCAGTCAGTTCTACCTGTATTTATCCCCAACACTACCTCCCCCAGCACTGGGGCCTATTTCTCCCCTCTCTGGCATAGAGAGCAGTTGTTTCCACTTAGATTGGGAGAGTTTCCCACTAAATTTCTCCCAGGAGGTGCAATCAGAGCATGTTGCTTGTTCTTCATCAGTCTCCCCAGGCCTTCCACAGCAGCACCTGACAGGAGAACACTTTTCTTCCACTCTGAAAGCAGCAGCCTCACAGTTCCCCATAAGACCACGAACCAACAGCCCTACAGCTTGGTGTGTGTGTGTTTGTTCCCAAACATGGGATGTTTTACTAAAATAAGGGGTGAAAATCATCCTCAAAGTAGAGGAGAAAGGGGCACTGCCCCCTCCTAACACAAGCACAGCTGACACTACCTGCCCTGCACGCAGTCATCACTCCTCTTCACCAGTGAACCTCCATTGCCTTAGTTATTAGATGGCTCTCCATTAAGCCTCCATTTTTCCCTCCTGCAGGAATTTCGAGGCACAGGGAATGGCACCACCAAAGAGATATGCCAAAATCCGCTATGACTTCACCGCACGAAATGCCAACGAGCTCTCAGTGCTGAAGGATGAAATCCTGGAGGTATGTGGACGTGCTCAGGAAAACTGGGCCCTCATCCCTTTGCCAGGAACAGGGAGAGACCTTGAGATCCCGGCAGGTCCCAGCTCATTTCCCCTTGGTGTTTTCTGAGCAGTAACATGAAGTTTCGTCAAGCCTAAGCTTTACCATTGAGCTGGAGCAGGCTGGGTGAGCACTGGGTCAGCTCAGCTGGAACACATCACTCACAGGAGGAAGGAAAACAACTCACTGCAGTATGTTCCTCATCCACCTTCTGGTTCATTATTACCACTCTGCCCTCCCTAGGGAATTATTTTCTATGAAAACATACTTTTTCATAACCTTTCTCTTATCCCAACACTGCTGGCAGCTGAGGAATGTAGGAGATGACTTGGTCTACACACCAACTAAAACAGATCTGACTGGAGACAAAGACTTCTGTTCAAAACTCGCAGATCTGTTCAAACCGTGGCTAGAATGAGGAATATGTTGGGTCTTGCCAGCAAAGCTCATCCATTCTGGGAAGCTTACTTAATATATTAAACAATCATTCCAGAGCCAGGCTGAGAGAGCTGGGCTGGGGCAGCCTGGAGAAGAGAAGGCTCCTGAAGGGGACACCTTAGAGCAGCTCCAGTGCCTAAAGGGGCTCCAGGAAACCTGGAGAGGGGC